TCCGATAATTGTTGTGTATATTTCCTTCAGATTATGCGAGGATTTATAGTACCCTTGCATGAACAGTGTTTACTCGATATGTTAAACACGCAGTGAAATGTCTAATCGAGCATGAGGTTCTAAGCGGCGATATTTAATTTGTATTCTTAATCCGTTCATATTACGCAATACAGTGCGTATTACAACAAGAAGTACCTAAAAACAAATAATTTAAAATGTAATTAAAATTATTTATATATAAAAAAAATGCAACTTGAGAAAAGAAATTTGGCGTCTGACATTCACGCCCATTATTTCTTGTTAGCGTGAGATGCATCTTTTTGTTGTTTGTTCTGTTTGGCACAATTTGCTAAGTGAATTCGCTTAGCTAAGCGAATAGCTTTGCCCAGCTAATTTCGTAATGCAATCCCAACGATTAAGCTAATTATTTATTAGTTTCATAAATTGGAAGCTAGTCCTAATTTTACACTGTTGGAGTTCTCTTCTTTTAACTGGAAATTGGAAAGAAAAAATATGTGTAGGTTTGACTAAATTTTGAGTTTTATATGACTTACATACAGTGGCTGATCCAGGATTTTACGGGTGTTGGGTCACCGTCTCCCATCAACCGCATACAAATCAATAATTAATAAATAAATATTCTAAAAGCTAGTAAAAAAAAAGTCAGTCCAAGTAAATATCTTGTGGGAGAGGAGAAGGAGGATTTGTGACAGATAATGACAACTAACCAATTAAATTACCAAAAAGATTTAGAATGATAAACTTTAACAAGTTACCAAGTGAGAACTAAGAAGGTGAGATTTGAAGGATGAAGTTAATACATAAAATATAAACTAGTTATTGGCCCGAGCGATGCTCCGGTATAACGTAACGTAAATTTATAAATTTATCAAAATTAATAAAAAAAAAAGGTTAATGTTGAACAATTATAATTGATTAAGTGAAAATATAATAATTTAAACTATTATTTTTCATTAATATTTATATTAAAAATGTCAAATATAAATATAAAGGTTATGCATATGAATAGTTTTTGAAGTAAATATGTCATTAATATAGAGAATTAAAGTTATACTAATGAAGAGTTTTTAAATTAATTACACGTTATTGCATTTCAATGCAGTGAGTGATGGGTGCTACACATAGGATGACACATGACGCACATGTGGCTTCAAATAATAATAAGGGTACACATGGCGTAAGCATGTTAATCCCATGAAATTTAATAATTAATATAGATATAGATTTCAACAAGTTTGCCTAGTAAGAACTAAGAAGGTAAAAAGAGGGAAAAAAGCTAATAAAGAGCATCAGCAATGGGAAGGATGCATCTCCTTTTAGCCATCCCTTTTTCTACTTTTATTGTTCCTCTTGAATGCTGAAGTATGTAATAGGATACTCTCTTGGGAAGTACATTAGTATTTCCTTTCTGTGGAAAGAAAATGTTTCCTCGTCTCGTGTGCAAAAGAAAACAACAGAAAAAGAAGAAAAAAGGGGGAAAGTAGCCGTTGGTGGAAAAATGTCAAACCAACATGATAATCCAACGGTCAAATGCAACGAAGAACAAGTTATCTTGTGACACTTGTCACAACGAGAGTGGTCACGTATTTTTGCGACTTTAAATATTTATAACGGCTATAACTTGTTAACGGTAACTTATTTCAGAAAACCAAAAACACCAACGGTCATAAAAAAAATTTCTGTATAAAATGAGTATAATTTTCTCATATTTTCACACACTTTCATTTTTTGCATTTTTCCCCATTAATCTCATCTATTGTCGAAAACATCTAATATCACTCAAACAAATTTTTTTTCCACAAATTTCACTTCCAATTTCAAATACCCTTCATATGGATCGTAATAATTCAAATTACGGGAATAATATGAATTTTCCAAATAATCCAAACTTTCAATATAATCAAAATAATCCTCCTTTTGACCCAAGTTTATTGAGTAATCCGAATTTTCAAGCTGCTTTGCAATGGTTTAATAGTCAATCAAGACCAATAAATGTCAATAATATTCCACAATGTCAACCTCATTTCCCTTTTCCTCAAAGTAGCTCGTCATCTCAACAATCTCTTGGTAATATGGCGGGTTTTTCCCATTTCTGAACATTTCACTCAGAACATGGATTAATCACTGGGAGGTTTTGGTGGTAGGAATGCAACTCTAATAGAGGAGAGTGGTGATGAACATGTGGAACAATTAGTCGGGGCACAACATCGAGAAGACATTAACGATGTTGATGTCGAAATTGTTTCCGAACAAAATGTCAACACCACTGGGCAAAGGAAAAACCAATCATGGAGCATAGCTGAAGACAAAGCACTTGTATCGGCCTACATAAACGCAGGGGGTGACGTAGTGAGAGGAACCAAGACAAAGAGAAGTGGGTTATGGGTTGACATCTATAACCGCTACGAACGTTCTAGAATGGAAAACCCCGATGAAATAAAGGTAAGAAACATTAAATCTATGCAAAATCGTTGGGATCATATAAATTCACATTGTAGTAAATGGGTAGATGCATATGGGTATCATTATCGAACCAAGGGTAGTGGTGAGTCTGAGAAAAATTTGGAGAAATTTGCTCACAAAGATTACTACGCAACTAACAACAAGATGTTTTGTTTATTGCACTGTTTTGAGGAGTTGAGAAAATATCCGAAATGGGATCCATCTTTGGCCAAAGATCAATCGACTATGCTACCCGGTGGCCAACAAACGTCAACCGAAAGTGGGAGTAGCGGTAAAAGATCACAACCTGATTCACCATCCGAGGTTGGAGGAAGAGGTAAAAGACCAGCTGACATAAAACAAACAAAGATGAAAAGTAAAGCATCTACTACTTCAACTTCAAGTATAAATCTTGAAGCGTTAAACACAAATTTTAACGAAGTTGGTGATAAGTTGAATGATTTGGGTGGACGACTTCTGGATCAGTTGAAGGAAAGAGATGAAATTAAAAAAATCACAAGTTGAAGAAAAGAAAAGGCAAAAGAACGAGGCCATGAAGTTTAGAATGTTAGAAAGATTAATGCTGAAGCCCGTTCTTGATGTAGTTGAATTAGAAATGTATAAGAAACTTAGAGATGAATTCAGTAGTAGATTTTCTATTTGATTTAATTTACCTGATTGTACCGAGTAATCATGATTTGTTATTACGATTATGAGTTGTATGTTTTATTATTATTGTAACTTTGCAGAATTATTGTCAATGTACCTTTTTATTATGAATGTAATTTCTATGTATTAATATGAACTTTATGTTTACTAAATTGAGTTCAAGTCTGTTAATGTTACTTTATATTATTGTGATTAGGGATGGCAATTTAATCCGAGTTCGATTCGAATCCGATCCGATCCGAAGGAAAAAATCCGATTCGAATCCGTTTAAAATAAGTCCGAATCCGAATCCGAATAGGAGGTGGATCGGACTTGGACCCTACGCAAAGTCCGACGGAGTCCGATCCGAGTTCGAATCCGAGAGTATAAGCATATGCTCTATAATTTGGGATAATTATTTTCTTGTTTTGTAACAAAATTTTGTTATGTAACTTAGTGTATAATTTAAATATGTTATCTTTATACTTTAATTGATATGACAATACAAGCAACTATAGGTATATGACATTAAAAACAAAAAAAATATTCGTATCATTTTGGAGGTCCGCATAAACGGACCGGATTCGGATCTGAAAATTACGAGTCGGATCGGATTCGGACTCGGATTTTTCGGATCCGAGTCCAGGGTCCGTTTACTAAACGGATCGGATTCGGATTTAGCCACATCCAACCCGAATCCGATCCGTTGCCATTCCTAATTGTGATAATGTATAAGATTGTTACCCATGACATTTCATCTAACCAAAATCTTATCTTCTAACATCCTTTGTTTTATGACCACATATCATCATCTGAAATCTAATCTTCTGACTAACCTTATCCTTTTTGTCTAGATAATGTATAAGATTGCTACCCATGACATTTAATCTTACCAAAATCTTATCTTCTGACATCCTTTGTTTTATGACCACATATCATAATCTGAAATCTAATCTTCTGACTAACCTTATCGTTTTTTGTCTAGATAATTTATCAAATTGCTCCCATGACATTTCATCTAACCAAAATCTTATCTTCTGACATCCTTTGTTTTATGACCACATCTCATCTGACTAACTTTATCCTATTTTTATCTATAAATTCATAATATTACTCCCAATAACATTACACCTCTCAATATCAACCTTATTTTCCTGTTGGCATTTTTTTTAAAGAAAAACCCAAAACCTTCTATTTCAAATATTGTTTGGTAATAAACATAATATGAATTTCGATTCAAACTCTTCAAGTTTTTCTTCTTCTTCGTCTTCAAGTTCAACTGATGATATCTATGATCAAATGGTCATGAATTTTATCAACGAGAGTCATCGATTACAAGTAGGGGTGAGCGTAACAGGGTACCCTGTAAAAATTTCAGGACTCGGAACCGGAACCTGTTGCAACAGGTTCCTAAAAATAGGAACCGGGACCGGAACCTGTTGCAACAGGTTCCTAAGAATTGAGAACCGGAACCGGAACCTGCAGGTTCCGGTTCCTAAACAGGGTACCCTGTTTGTCAAAGTAAGTTTAATAGTTACTTGATAAATTGTGACAAATTTTTTTTTTTTAAAATAGATGATCACAATAAAAGCTTACAACTTTAGTATAATACTTCAAATATAACAAACCAACACTAATTGTCTAGAATTTTTAATACCATATAGGTTCCGGTTTCATGTACCCTACAGGGAACCTGTACTAATAGGGTACCCTACAGGTTCTAAATCCAAAATTTTATTACCCGGAACCGGAACCTGTTGCAACAGGTTCCTAATTTTATTACCCGGAACTGGAACCTGTTGATCAGGTTCCAGGTTTGGAACCTGCGGTTCCGAACAGGTTTCGGTTCCATATCAGGGTACCCGTTTGCTCACCCCTAATTACAAGTAATGCAAAATGCAGTACTTGTAGCTGTAAACAATTCAGTACAACAAAATGAACATAAACGTCAAAGAAAACGAAGAATAACTGTGCCGAGAAATCGTGAAGTAGCTCACGACAATTTAGTTTCAGATTATTTTAGTGACCAACCATTATACGATGAAACCACATTTCGAAGGTTTCGTATGCGAAGACCCCTTTTCCTTCGCATTGTCAACACATTAAGTGCAACTAATCATTACTTCCAACAACACCCAGATGCTACCATGCGTCTTGGTGCTTCACCCCTTCAGAAATGCACAACATCCATACATATGTTAGCTTATGGTTATCTACTGATTAAGTAGATGAGTATCTGAAGCTCGGTGAAAGCACTTCTAGAGAATGTCTTGCACAGTTTGTCGACGGAGTAATTGCTCAATTTGCAATTGAGTACCTTCGCAAGCCAACATTGGAAAATATCCAACGCCTCCTTAGAGAAGAGGAGGATAGAGGTTTCCCTGGCATGTTGGGCAGCATTGATTGCATGCATCGGGTCTGGAAAAATTGTCCAGCTGGGTGGAAAGGAATGTATCAAGGAAGATCTAAAACAATGACTGTTATTTTAGAAGCGATTGCTTCCAGGGATTTATGGATTTGCCACGCCTTCTTTGGGACGCTTGGATCATGCAACGACATTAATGTACTTCAGCGTTCTCCGGTGTTTTATGATATAATAAATAATCGTTCTCCACAAGTTCTGTTCACTGTTAACGGAAAAAATTATAACAACGGATATTATCTCACAAATGGGATTTATCCAAAATGGTAGACATTCATAGACGCTATTGCAGTCCCACAAACCTTAAAGGATAAATTGTTCACTACAAGTCAAGAGAGTGCTAGAAAGGATGTTGAGCGTGCATTTGGTGTGTTACAAGCTCGGTTTGCAATAATTAGGAAGCCTGCTTTGGCATGGAGTGTAGAGTTGATGTGGAAAATCATGATGACTTGCATCATCATCCACAACATGATAGTTGAAGACAAGCGTGATACATATTTAAACTATAAAGATCCACTTGAATTCGCTCAAGAACAGCCTGAAAATATGCCAGGGTCGTCCTCAACCAGAAATGCAACAACATTTACCGTAACTCCTAGGCAGTATGATCCTGATAATTTTAGTAGATTGACAGCTTCAAGAGGGGAGATTCGCGATAGACAAGTTCATGAGGCATTAAAGAACGACTTGGTTGAGCATTTATGGGCAAGGTCAAAGAGCTCGGTTGAAAATTAGCATTTTAATAATTTTAAATTATGTGTGTTATTTTCGTTGCTTATTTTCATCCGTGTATTTCATATTTTTAATTTATGTCTTTTAATTCATGTATTTCGTATTTTACTAATCTTTTATATTAATGTGAAAATGTATTAGTTGACGTATTTTTGTTCGATTAATAATAATAATAATAATAATAATAATAATAATAATAATAATAATAATAATAATAAACATATTTTACAAACTAAAATAATAATTAAGTGTGTAAATAGGAGAGAGTATATGGGAAAGGATACTCATTGATGTTGGAAATATTTAAGAAAGACGATAAGTAAAAGGATGGAGATAGTTAGAAGTGATGTGGAAGAAAGAGAGTGTGATGTGTCAAGTGGAGGAAAGGAGGGAGAAATTGGGAAAGGATATAAGCTTCCTTCCCATTGCTTATGCTCTAAGGTTACTATTTGAGTGGGATGAAGTTAATTAATTAATTTAAAAAACAAACTAGCCAAAAAAAAAAGGCAATGTTGCTCGTGGGTTTCGAACCCAATATCATTGCCTAGAAATGTAATGCCTCAACCACTACACCAATGAGCATATATATACAAGTAATTAGTGCGATGTTTAATATCTATAGCCTTTTGTTTTTCTAGGTCACGTGATCTACCATGCATAAGGGTGGGTCTGCCATTGTGCCACTGATGACTTATGTCGTAATTCTATAGATCTAAAAAAAAGGAATGAATGGAAAAGTACATTGATGCCAAGTTGCCAACACAAGTCTGCCATTAGTGATTTCATTTAACATACTATCTTTATTTTCTGAAAAATTAACTCACTATTCATGTCGTTAAGGTAATTAAAGTAAAATGATTTTGATCACATTCTATGATTTATACAAAAAATAAATTAGCATATTGTAAGGAGGGTGTTCCCATCGTAGAGGATCCTTCTCCTTAGATGCCCATGGCCCTTTAAAGCCTAGGAATTTACACTTGTTAGGGTGTATTAGGATTTGAATTCCTCACTGTTTGGGAGACCTTTGAATTAGAGATGATTCTATCATATACGCTTTTTTGTAAGAAACAAGTAGGAGTCGCCAATGAGTTTTAGGAAAAACCCATAAACCTCGTTCATGCCTTTCTCCCAAGTAGAGTTCAAGGGATATTTAGCATGAATCATAAGTTTACCCATGCCCAAATTGGTCTAGAAAACCAGAAATGAGTTCGGGAGCGAGGGTACTAAGATAACGTTCCCTTTAGAGGGGAATCGCGATCCTAGCCCTAGTGCGGCCTCTACTAGCTCTTCCTTTGCACAATTTCATTGCCAAACAATATATGCAACGTGATACCTAAAAACTATGTTAATTGATTTTATTTACACACAATAATTCACATAGGAATTACATCGTAAGGTCGTTATTCTTATTTAATCAAATTCGTGAAAAGAACAATAAAATAAACAATATTTGCCTTGACTTAGGTGATTAACCAACAATTATTTTATTCAATTCTAATCTTGATTAACGAAAGAATACTATGTGAAATAAATTAATTTATTATTTTAAGGCGATCAAACAACACTAATTAATTAATTAAAGTTCTTTTAAACAATAAAAATAATGGTGATTTTACTAAGTGCTCGGGAATTTACCACTTCTCTTTGCTAGATCTCCGTTTAGAACACTTATGGACTCCTTCTTGTTGGGGAACCTCCATCGTAGTAACAAAATATCGAAAAGGGTGAGTGTTTAGGACAAGAGAGTTTGGATGCACAAGTTCACAAGCATTCAGCCAGCGTTTAGGTTAATTTTCTGTCTGTTGAAGCCTCGGATTAGGGTCTTATTTATAGGGAATGATTAGGTTTAGGGTTTAGAGCATTCTGCCGCAGCAGGTGTTGAGTGCAATTGAGTAGGTTGCACGCGGCTGTCGCGCGCAAGTGAATAGGTCGCGCGCGGTATACGCGCGTAACTATTTGTCTTGCGCGTAGCTCTATGGTAAGATTCGATTTTCCAATATTTTAATATTCTGAATCTTACGTGAGCGCATCTCTGAAAGTTGCTCGCGACTGCTGAGCGCGACTTTGTGAGATGCGCATGATATTTTCCGCGGTAGCTTTTATTTTAACCTAGACGCTCCTAAATCCGTCATTATTGGGTTTTAAGCACGGGCTTAAGCCTAATTATGATCGGGTTTAGTTAATTTGGACCTTGTGTTGGCCTTGTTCTTTTATCTGGGCTAGTCTTTTGTGTTTTGTGGCTTAACCAGTTATCCGTAAGCATTCTTTACTTTGATCCAACATGAAGATGGTTTTATTTATCGTCATTACACTTCCTGTCGGGACAGGAGGCTAAAAGTAGATGTCTACAGTTAGCCCCCACTTTGATGAGTCTAGAATAGACGATGATCAAAGTAGTCAAGGAAAAATCCGAGACTCATTCTGCAAAGTTCTCCAAGGTTAGAGAATCTTTTAGTAAGGTTTAAGGATGTCGAAACAGTCCTTGGTTCGCTAAGTGTTTGAAACAAATAGCTATTAAGGCTAGAAAAATTTTCCCCTAGTCTTAATGCGGTAAAGAATCTAGATTGATCCTTTACAATTGTAGAACGCTTTTACAAGTAAAGGTGTTCTGGGTAATGTCAAGTCATGAGAAGAGATCGGTTTTAAAAGAATAAAAGGGGATGATTTCCTCCCAATCATGTCATCGTTGATCTAAAGTCCCTCGATATGTCATTGAAACTTTATCCTGACTTTAACAAAGTAAAAAGAATGAAAAGGGGTTTTTGATATGCGAAAAAGGGGTCCGGTATTCGAGCCGGATGTCCACAAGATAGAAATACATGTCTCAGGACTGGAGGCATATATCCAAATCCAATGAGAGAGAAGAAAGTCAGCAACTCTCTCAGCAGTTTTGTCCACAAGATGAGTACACGTGTCTCAGGACTGGGGGCTCGTGACTACATGGGTGCGACATCGTTCCGTCGCTATTTATACAGGGGGTGGACGAACACCCTAACTGTCCGATAAGTTAGTAAGCTCACTAACTATCGTATTTGCTTCCCTTCACGAAGTGCCTGTTCCTGAAGGTTTGGGGCACCTGTCGACTCGTGAGCTAACGCCTACAGTAAATAGTCTACCTTTTAGTTCCGAGAGGTAGATCTCGCAAAGCTTGGGCTATGGTGCAATTTTACGCAACACCTACGCCGTAAAATTTTACGATGTACGCTATGCCATTTGCATTTTTATGCTGCATGTTAAAAGCCTTCCTTTTGCTTCGTACGTGAAAAAGAAGAAAACTCGGACACTTATATCGTCAGTACAGTAAAATGACAAACCTGTCTATGGGTGCTTTTACGTAAAGCACCACCACGGAACGTCTTATGGCACGCTTACGAAAAACGTTCAAAATGTATGCCTGGGGAAGGCACAAAGCACGGTGTGCATGCAAAGATGATGCAAAAATCTATCAAAGAAGAAAATAAACTACAAATGCAAAGAAATTTAAAAAGGATTTTGATAATTCGCGCGCTATTACGTCTAATAATGAGTGAAAACCATTGAAAAATGATCAAACGGATCAAAATCCGGATACCAGTCATTTAAGTGACCAGTATCCGTGCGCAACTCAGCAGGTCACGCTGGCCAGGCGCGTGCATCTTTCTGAGTTGCGCTCGTGTGTCACGCGCAACTTCTTAAGTTGCGCGCGACATTCAGTTCAGCAAAAAGAAAATCGCAGAAGCGATTTTTCATTTTGCATTCTCTCTCTTTCCTTCCTCCATTTTCGCCCCTTTCTCTCTCTATAGAACTCGGATTTTCGTGATTTTCGTGCCTAAAGGAAGCAAATTTCATTCTTAATTCATTTTTGCCATAACCCAATGTAAGTCTTTTTCCATTTTTTGCTCTTTTTTGGCTGAATTCGAACGATTTTCGAATCGTTAAACCCCAATTTTCGAATTTGGGGTTTTTCAATTTCGTCCATTATTCTTGAAATTGTTTGTTCCATGTTGTCATGCTATGCTTAGGAGTGTTTTGCAACAAATCTCATGAAAAATGGTTAAGTATTGAACCTTGTATGAGCATTTCTTCACTTAAGTTCGTTCTTGCCTTTTTTTGCTTGAATTCTGCTCGAATTTGTTTTTTTCTTGCTCATTTTGGTTATACTTGTTGATTATGAAGTAGATTATAGTATTAGAACTAAAATTACTTTCATAATTCATATTTTGTAAATTTTGAAATTGAAAAATGGCGCGAAGTATATACTTAGTTTGTTTTTGCCATATTCGAACTTCAAGTTTGTTTGGTAAACGATAATTGCGTTTTGTTTTTACTATTATTCGCCTGAAAATAATTGATTCCTTGAGATTTTGAAATATAATCTCTTGAATACTTAGTTGAAACTGGTATAGGATGGCTTTTGTGGGTGTTTGAAAGCCCCCATTTACTAAGTTTAATTGCGTGATCGTAGCCCCCAAGCATGGGTGGCAATCGATTTTCGTGTTTCATCCTATCGGTAGCCGTTATGCTGCCGAAATGGATCTAGAACACGTTTATTAGCTTAGTTTAGAAAGTAAACTAATAGAGAAACCTCGTTTATCATAGCATGGACTCGCCTCCATTCGTCGATGCTGAGGAGATTTAAGTAGGTCCTGACGAGGTAGTTGGGTGCCTCCTTCAGCGGAGATCACGTATACCGATGCCGTTGGATCGGTAATTCGTGAGAACCTTCCAGCAGCAGAGGATGATGAGGGGATATCGTTTGTTCCTGAGACGGTTGAGTCGGTATGTCCTTTTGTATATGTACTTAAAATAGTTCTATTTTTGTTTCATATACATTTATCTATTAACTGTCCTGTATTTTATTTTTAGAACAGGCTCCGCGGGAGACCGTGAACGGCATAGTGAGGACCTTACGTGCTTTCCGAGCTGCTTATCGGAGAGCCCTCGTGACTTTGTCATGCCGTGATCCTCGGATGATTGCGGTAAGTTTTATATATATTTTTTTGACGAAGTTATCACATTGC